CAATAGGGATTCCATTCGTAACGCAGGTTTTAAGTGGCTTATTCCAATGCTGTCCAGCAGCACATTGACTTTTCACACCGGGAGCACATGAATGGAATATCTCGGTGACGCAACTGACGAATCCACTGACGAATCTTCTCAGAATGAAGTCCCAGGCAGTGGCTAAGCAAAATATTCATTTGATTTCAGCTAAATTACGTACTGCTAACGTATTAACCATACGCCAAATGCTCCGGAGCATTTAAAAGCAGAAGCATAACTGCTTCTGCCCAATGCAGACTGCCTTACTTCAGCCTGATACAATGAGAGGACAATGCGAGAGAACAGACAAAGAAACTAAGGTTTGAAAACCGTTTCGTCACCTTGTCGAGAACGATATTGAGAACTGCCAGCTGGCCTTGGAGCTCCTTCACCTCGGCTTCCAGCCCATCCTTCCGCTTCTCCATCAACTGATACTTCCCCGATCCCTTCTCGAACTCTTCAATCGAGGTCTGCGCCGGGAACACCGTCGAGATAACTAGCACTCGTACCGTGCCAAAAAAAGCAAAAAAAAGCAAAAAAGAAGGAAAAAAGAAAAAAAGAAAAAAAGCAAAAAAGAAGGAAAAAAGAAAAAAAGAAAAAAAAGAAAAACACGGACATCATCAGTTCGATGCGAGGGCTTTTGATGTCGCATGTGGCAATGTCGTCAAAGCGAGTATGATATAATCTCAGAAACCGGTAAGGGGTGCAAGGCTACCAGTCATTCACAGCTTGAAATTCAGGGCCGCGAGAATACGGATCAGAGCTTGGTAACTTCAACCAGGCTTGGCATTTGCGTCGCAAACACAAATCACATTTACGTTTTTGCGTGTAAAAATAGTTTTCGCATTTCTGCGCGTCAAACCGCGTAGAAAGATGTAAATACAGTCTTGCCTACATAAGGACAGCAAATACAGAACTGGGGAGTCCGGGGAGTGGCAGTCAGACACGCTGGAATTGGTAGAAAACAAAAGTTTGTTCCATACCCTCGTTTCTCATGCCGAGGGCGAGGTGGGTACTCTGTTGCGGGTGCTGGAGATGGCGGAGGACCGACAATTGTACACAGCTTTCATCGTGTAACGTGGGTGCCCCAACAAGCCGCAAAAACGTAAAAATAGCTGCAAAAATGGCCTCTTTCGCAAATTTTCGTGGATATCCAGCCCGACTTCAACAAAACGTATTGTATTTGTTTGTTTCGAGTTATTTCTATAAACATAGTCACATCGATATGGATATCCAGCATTCGCAACCACGCCGTTTCCAGTTTCTGTCGATAGCCGCAGCACCCACAATCGCCCCGCCAATAGAGCTGGCGCGCTCGGAAATTTCGAGATAGTGGTCTCTGCCGAGCTCTGTGGATCTCCAATACGAAGATAAGCATTTTTCTGGGTCGGTGAAAATCAAGAGAGGCCTGGAGCGATCTCCAGTAAAGCGACAAGTACGTGATGCCATGGCAGCCCCCTCGAGCAAAAGACGGAAATTGTATCAGATTTATTAGTCTGCTACCCTTTGCCTTGTGCATATTATGCATCTAAAGGTGATTAAAGATAAATGGGACGCATTTGCGGCCCACAGGTAGGCCCGACAGCTGTCTCGTACAGAGCGATTATGGCGATCGTGTTAAACGCCAAGCGTGATGAGGAGCAGGTGAGTGGCCCTTCAGTGACTGACAGAGGACCAGTAAAATAGGGCGATGGTGAATGACAGAATACCGGCGTTGGACCTCGCGCTCGCAATCCATATTTCGACACTGCCAGCGGATTGGCCGACCGAACGCCGGCTCCAGGGTCAGCCGAAAATTGCCAAACTCCACCGTCTAAAGCGCCGCCCCAAAGGCAGCCCACCGTCACAAACGGGCACACGGCCTTTGCCAGACCGCGACGGGCAAAACGCATTCCACAACGAGCCATTCGCGATCTAAGCACGCCAGCGGGTCAGCAGCGAGCCCGTCGCACAAACCCGCTTTGAAACCAGGTCTGCAGGCAGGAAAATGGCGCAAGCAAGCACTGCCAAGCACTGGGCCTGGCACCACTGTTCCCAGAAACAGGTTCAATGACTCACTGACAGCGCGTGCTCTGGGCAGCCTGTGCACGAGCAAGGTTCCTGTTCTCTTTGAAGTAAACAGGAAGCAGGGAGAAACAGGGAGCGGTCCAATTCACCACACATCCCCGGTGCCTCACCCTGAACCCCTCGTTTGCCGCCAGGATCTCCTGCCCCTTGCGCCTCAGGCAGTTCATGTAGTAGCTCCGGTCCAGCACCTGCCTCCCCGGCCCGCCCCCCGCCCCTCCCATCCCCGCCAGCCCTTCCCGCGTCACCGGCCTCTCCTCCAGTCTCCTTAGGCCCGCCGTACCGGGCCTTAGTAAGCCTGTGCCCGGCCTCCCGGCGGCCGTGCCCAGGCGCATGGGCGTGGGAGCGCGGCCGCCGAACAGAGGGTTGGGCCCAGGGGCGCCCTGGGAGGGGGCCGTGGGGCCCAGTGGCTTGGGGCCCGGCGTAGGGGCCCGGGAGGGCGTGGAGGGGCGGGGTGGCGGGGCGATGGGGCTGCCGGTGGGCGCCTTGGACACGCCGCCCATGGAGAGGGCCATGTTGCCGCGGGAGCCAGGGCGCTCCATGGGGGTGGGGGAGGGAGTAAGTGTGTGGAAGGGCCGGGGGAGAAGGAGATGCTGGGCTGGCGGGAGGGGACGAGGTTTTGAGGATTGTGGCCCTTATTATGAAATCGCGGTCCCACACAACTTTTGTATTTCTGGAATCAAAGAAAAACATGGAACAGAATATCAAAGATATACACCAGAATATTGGATCACATTTGCGTGGGGGGGAGTGTGGGGTGGTGGGAAGGGACGAGGTCTTGAGCCCTGTGGCCCCTTTGATAAAAGTGCGGTCAAATCGACTTTTTTTCTGTGTTCCTTTCTTTTGTGGTTCCAAAATGTTTCATCACATTTGTGTGGCGGGAGGGTGGGGTGGGGAAAAAGGACGAGGATTTTAGCCCCGTGGCCTTTTGCCTGCAAGTGCGGCCGCATCGATGTTCTTTGCTTTTCTGATCCCAAAATGTTTCATCGCATTTTTGTGGCCCCCTCGATGGTTAGGGCTTCGGGCTAGAATGAATTGTGTACAATAAGCTGCTCACATAGTGGTAGCTCAGTCGACAATTGAATAAATAATTCGGCCATAATTGAAGAGATTCATATTTCAGCGGAAGGCAGCGGAATTGGATCTGGAACTGGTTCTGCAGATCAGATCAGATCAGATCACATCGGATGTTGCTATGCAGAGAAAGAGAGTGTGTAAAATGAGTTGTATTTGCGCAAAAGAAATCGCAGATTTTTCGTACTTCAAGTCGAATTCTGGGAAATAATTTCCCAAATATTATTCTCAAATTCTCAAATATTGTATTTGACGATTAAACATTTTTAACAGAATTGGTCCGAAAGTCATGGCGAATGGTTGCCTTGCCACATTGGGCAGCGATATCCAGCGCAGCTTCGCGCACACTGTTCGCTCGCAGTGCGCGTTTTGTTCGCTCCCACTGCAGTGCGGATGCCAGGGATGGCTGTTCCGTAACCTTCATTGGCCTTTGTCCACGATTGGCAGAGGTTTGCCCTTGAAGGTCAAAAGACGATGGCAGGGCCACTCGGTGCGCACTGTTCGGCACGTCTACCGCGTCCACCACGCGTCTCCGGGCTGTGCGCCCCCACAGCAATTTTCGTGTTCAAACCGTCAACTTGAGCGTCGATTCAACGACTTGGAGGCTGGGGCACCACATGGCGCCATCATGCACTTGCGGTGTTGTCTCGAAACTTCCAATCGAACTCGATACGCTCCACGTATACCAAGAGGGTTCGGGCGATCATATGCAAGGACATATCTATAACGGGACAACAGCACACTCGTTTGATGTTTCACGGAAGTTCATCTGTTTCTTTAATAGAACTCCGGAATCATTTGGCCTCATTTGGTTCATGGTGTACCTTTTTACCTTTTTTCATCACACATGCGGTTGGGGGGACATTGTGAATTTCTGTGGGAGAGTGCAGTGCTGTCGAGAGAGCAGCGCACCGCTCAGGATGTCTTGTCCTCAAGGTTTCCTGTGGGCAAGTTGTGGATCTTTCATACAGATCTTTCACGTGAGGGAACATGTGGATGAGTCAACGAGACCAGTCGAGCAGCGGCCAACAGTGCTGCCTTTGCCTTCGGGCAAAGTGGCACATGATTTACTACGCGCCTTGGCCTTGCCAATACATCGAAAGAGCGTGCAGCCCTCACTTGGAAGCGCGACATGCAGCACACAGAGGCCAGGGACACACACACACGCACGCACACAAATTTCCAGAATTTACACCAGCGTTCAAAACTCAGGCACAGACACAACAAAGCGAACAACCACAAGCTCGGGGTCCAACATGCTGCTTGAAAAATAAAGATCAAATAAGAATCCAAGGGGGAAAGGGGCGGGGAAGGGCACGTGGCCCACCATCGTGTGACACCTTAGCTCCATCGCCGGCATCTGAAAGCCGTCCACCACTTGCATGCAGGCCCCAGCAGCAGCGCTGCTTCTGCCAAGGTAGCACCTGTGTTCCTGTAGGATGTGACTTGCCTCCCACCCCCCACTCCTCAACTCCTAACTCCACCGTGTCGCGCCACAAAACCTGCCAGCAATTACTCCAGTGCTGTCGGGTCGATCTGTTCAGGCATATCCGCATTGAGGGGCCCCGTGGGTCCACCAACGCCATGCTCACAGGGTATGTATGTTTGTCCCTTGAGTAGATCGGCAAGCGTTTAGTCTGCAGGTTGCAAGTGCATAACCAATCCCTGCAAATTTCCTGCAGGTTCAATGCTCACAGCAAAGAGTATTCAGCCGCTGGGCAAGATGCCTGGCCTGAAACTCCATCGTGCCACGGACAATTGACACAACTGTACCTTCAGGTTTCTCAGCTCCACCTCCATTTCTGACTGCCGGGCAACGCGTCTCACAGGGCAAAACCTGCTCAAAATCCTGCACCACTGCTGCACTCAGGCCCTCGTGCTCCCTTGAGGTCGCTGAGCCTTGCAGCAAGGCAGCACATATCAGACACCCGCCTGCCAGCCTTCTGCCTCCAGAGCCCAGTAACACAGATCATAAACCTGATAACACACAGCTGCTGCCTTGCATCGGAGATCAACTGACCCAATCTTGCAGCCAGTCTGGCAGTTTCAAGCCTTGCAGCTTCTTGAGCCTGCCGTTGCATGCAACGTGCACTGGGATGTTGGCCCATGGACTGCTGCAGTAGCCACACACAACCCGACCTCCTACACAACATGTTACAATGCCCTATCCCCTGCTACTTGTGCACCAATTCTGTTCAGTGCTGGCGCACAGGAAACCCTGGGGCCCAGCACATCTGAAGTTCAATGTGGAAAGGCAGGTTGAGAGGCCATGGACTCTCTGCAGCACGTCCAAACTACACTACCAGCTCTCACTGACCTCTCCCATGGACCGTGCCCCAACAGGCCTTGGCTGATGCCCCCGAAAGCTGCACCCTCCAACACATGCCCCGCCAGTGACCAATCAATCAACAAACAAGACAAAATGAGGGATCTCCCTGATGAAACTTCCACACCCAACACTGTGCAATGGGCACAGTGTGAACCCAAGCCCATGCTTGCCCCCCAAGCCCCTGTCCTACCACTGTCCTTGTCATCCCAATGAATAGCCACTCGTAATCTAAACCAACAGGACCTCCATCGGGCCTTAAGAACCTGGCCCCTGTAACCTGGCGTGGGGCCGGGGTGGCACCTTGTCGCTGTGGAACGCTCGTCTGTTGCGACTGCGACTGGCCCTCCGCACGGCTCGATACCGAGCGGCTCCATAGTACGTGGATGTGCGATCCAGATTCTCTGGCGGCATTTGCTCATCCCAGCTAGTGTTCCAGGGTGTGTTGAAGGGGATTCGGGCCACCAGGAAGGGGACCATGAAGGCCAACGTCATCAGTGCGAGCATTGCTACCGATGCCGTATCAAACATTTCACCTGCAAGCAGCAGAGGCATGGCGCTTTCAAGGTGCTGCGACTACATGCGATGTGACCAAAGACAGCAGCAACCTGCAGACAGCAGCAAGAAGGCACAGGAAGGGAATGTCGGTCCGCTTCAATCTGCAATAGCTGTAATGAGGCAGCTTGAAACACAGTTGTTGGCTATTGAGAAGTCCATTCGTTTTCTGCCTGAATCTGGTCACTGCATCATTTCTTCCACTCGTGGCCCTGCGCAATAGGTGCACAGTGACATGTCCAAATTTGGGACAGCAAAGTTACTTGAAATCCATGGTGCTTGGCAAGGAAACGTCAACTGGCGTTTGGACTTCTAGCAGGCGCTCCAATGCATGTTGGTGGTTGTTTGCCATTTTTGAACCTGACTGTGCTGGACAAGGATTCCCTTCTGAATGCACAGTACGACCAATCAAATCCCCACAGCCAACCATTTTGTCTTTGTTAGGTGCAGCTGGGGACTCCAGCTGCACACTATGATTACATCACAGCTGTGACACAGAGAGGGGCTACATGCCTGCCAAGTGGAATGTGGGAGACACACATCATTGGGCAAATGTGTCCTGAAGCAAAGGGAGATCGCAGCAAAGGCATTGCAAGGGAAACATTGACAGATGGAGCCCTGGGATCCGACTAGAGGGAATCCCCAGCCAGAACAGCTGGGCAGTTGCCAGGAACCTTGGTATTAGCTTGGCCAACTGGTGGCAGAATATGAACTATATTCCAGAACCAACCAAACCTTACCACTTCAGTGTACCCAGGCCAGTCTTCTTGTAAGAAAGACTGCACATGCCTCAGCCAGACAGACAAGGGCTGAGACCAAAGCAATGCCTCAAGTCCCAACCACATGCGTGACATGCCCAGCAAAGGCAAGCAGGTCAGGACCAGCGCAAAATTTGCAATGTTTGCTCAGTACATTGCTGCAAAGAGAGCTGAACAAAATGAAGAAGACTTCTTGCAAATGTCCAGAACCCTAGTCATTTGAGTGCTGGCAACGTTTGCCCAGGAGACTGCTATGAAGGGATTTTAACAAGAATGATTTTATGAACGATTTTAAGATATGTATTATTCAAAACACTCGCTTAATGGCACTACGTTCATAGCTTGATGATACCTGTCATCCACAGGATACAAATCGGTCCAGCTGAAACGTAGATATAAACTATACTAACACCGCATGATATTCAACAATAGAATTGAATTTTATGATGAATGCACAATGACCACATTCAAAGCATGGATTAAAATTGTGGAACATTGCCCCATGCCTTTTCTGCCCAGCAGAAAGTAGGAAGTCAGGACTGTGGATGGAGTCAAGCCAAACGGCACTGCACTCACCACAGAGGAAATACAGGATCCAAAACAATCCGAGCATCACGCCGAATATCCACATCAGAACCACGCCGGGGTCCACCATGTCAAACTGCCAGCAGAACAGCCAGTGAGGCATGCAGAGGAGGCATCGACAATTTCTGGCGCCTCTTCTGCAGAGACAGGTCCCCAGACACCCTTTAGGGCAAGATGGGCATACGAAATGGCACCTACTACTTTTGTCTTGAACTCATTTCAATTGGCAGGTATTCCCAACTTCCTTTTGTGTTGGATTTAGCATGAAATATACAAACCTACTTAATATATCACATTCGAGTGTAGACACCGTCTGCTCTGCATTGAGCGCTATGTCAGCACTGGCAACGGAATCCGTGTGCCTATTCTCAATAAAAAAACCATTGTGTGCCACTGTTTGTCCAATTATCAAGTAAAGCTGGCCACAACACATGCACAATCCACTGCCGTTGGCCTGCATGAGTATGTCATTTTAATGGGTGCGAGCTGTTGCACACCATCATCTTATGTGGCAGCTGCTGGCCGATATGCAGGACATGCAGATAGCATCGTCTGGAATGTGGTAATACATTTGTTGGTTTTGGTACGAACACCAACAAGCTTGCAGAAATAAAAAAGCAAATCGCCTCTCTGACAGCCACTGCCTGTGGACTGGGACCTTTGCAATACTGTACAATATTAAACCCTTCCGCTTGGTCCTTTTTTGCAGAGAAAATACAATAAATAGTAACGCAAATCTTGGCCTTTCTGTGCGGAGCAAGGTAAAAAAATAGAAATAACGCTGTGAAAAACAAAATGCGGAGCAAAAAGCATAACGGTGAAATTTTCTGATACGGAAGGGTTTAATATTTTAAAGTAGTCTATCTTTGCACCATCAACAGCCATCGCACTGAATAGTGTAGCCAACAGCATGCCCGCTTCTTGTGTTCTTTGTGGGAAGGGCAGGTACCATTCAAAGGGCCTGAGCTTGTATGGACGAACAGTCTCCATACTGTGTATTAGATAGTACTGCACATAAGCTATCACATATCCTGATTAAGATATCTGCACTGTATAGAACATGATGCAGGAAGTCCCAGAGAGCAACAGAACAGCCAAAGCGAAAGCAGTGGAGGAAAGAGCAGCTGCCAAGCGGTTAGTGGTGGTCGCCTGATCGCATATTGACACTGTTGTGCACAGCCATCAAGTGTGACCAACAGTCTTAGAAGACAGTATCGCCACTGCACAGCCCGCTTCTCACAGCTCTCACTCAATGGCCTCTGCAATGCCACCCTGATGTGAGGGTGAGCGAAGTGACAAGGCTGTAGATCGCCACAAGCTGAAATCGAGGGAACTCCAAAATACTGCATCGATATGTGAACCACCAGCCTTCTGGCAAGGAAGGCCCACATGAGCACCATGCTGCAGGCGATGATTGTGGCTTCAAGCACAATTCCCTTTGCCTTTTTGTCTTTTTGTTTTCTTAGTTTTAGGACACCATGGCTAAGGTGGGACACCGCTGTGTGTCCTTTCCTTGTCGATTTTGGGTTGTTTGCTGCTTGGGGACGTGTGTCCCCTTTTGACATGAGGTAGGGGTACACTTTCTATCAAGCCCTGTGAGGTCCTTGCAAACCAAACGAAAAACATTGGTACTGTCTAATTGACCTTAGGTCAGCAGGGGACACATGCCATGGCCAGTGCAACATTTTTCCTCATTGCTGCAGTGGGCACATTTCCCAGCATGCTCATCTTCCCACACTCCGGCTCACCCAGTCGCCCCTGAGCTGGTCCACTGTCATGCGCAGGCGGCCACCTGATGGCCCCCGCTTGGGACCATAGTCCGATGTCACACAGTGCAGCACGTCCCCTGGGGCGTCCAGCACTGCATCCTCCTCATACAACTCATGGCCCGCAGACAGCAGCCGCACGAAGCGACCCTCAGGTAGGCCCTTAATCTCTCGCACCTGCAAACAGCAGCCCGCCCGCCAAACATGAGAAGAAATCCAAGTCAATGTAAGCACGCCAGCCACGGCTGGGCTGGCAACCGACGACACAGGGTATCAGCACCGTTTGCATTACCAGAAAACGAAGCTCCCCTGATGAAGTTCCAGGGCCGGTGCACAGGAGACTGCGTTGCGATTCTCGAAAGTGCCATGCTTGCGCCCAGCAACCAAGCACTGCTCTGCTGTTCGGCTCCATCCTGCCCTGCCTGCCACTAGCCCTTGGCGTGCAACTAATGCAGAGCCCACTCAGCCGATTCCCTTTCTTTCTCTCTTTTTTCCCCTTGTCAGTTTCTAATCTGTTGTTTCCAGGCCTGGCCTGCAGCCCAGCGAAGAGGCTGGCCATCGTCTTGCCACATGGATGCTCTTCTCGCACCGCTGAAATCGCAGCCTTCCTGCCGAACGTCCAGCGCACCCCCGGCACCGCACCCTGTACATTAAGCAGTCCACAGCTTCCGCAGAAGGCACGGGTTCTGACGCTGCCCTCAACCTCAAAGACGACTATCCAAACACCACCTGGATCGCACCCCGCGGCCCCCCGCAAGCAGGTCCCCGACGTAGCATGTCACCGGCCCCTGCGGCAAGCCCTGATCAAAGGGCCAACCCATGCATCCCCACCCCCCACACCCCCCTCTTCCCACTCCCACCGCCGGGAAAGTGGCGACCAGCCACGACACAGAGAGCAGCGGGGCGTCACGACCCGCGCGGCGCCAGTGGTGCGCCGAAAAGGCCGCCCCTCGCGCCCGGCCGCATCCCTTCGCCAGCCAAGGCCGCTGGCGCCGCGCCCACGCCGGCCCGGCGGACCCCAGCCGCCCGCCCTCCTCGCCGATCCGGCGCCTGCGGCCACTCCCCACCCTCCCCGGCCGGGCATCCCCCCATCCACCACAAAACCCCAGCCAACTCTGCTAGGGGCCCCCCGCGAGATCGGCGCCTTGGGGGCGCGACTGACCGGGGCGATTTTTGGACAATCCTGAAAACCCGAAAGTGCTCAAGGGGCCGACACTTCCACATGGCTGCCAACGGTTCCCCCTCCCCCCCTTCTCACCTTGTCCACCACGCTCTTCACCACCGCCGTGTCCTCCACATCCACGAACACGTCCGGGTCGCCGCTGGCGAACTTCACCCGGAACCGCCGCGTGGGCGTCATCGTGCGCCCGGCAGCCCCCGGGCCCTCCTCCGCCCGCCCAATCGCACGGCCCACCTCTCGGCCACCCGAGGAAGCGCGCCACAGATCGCAAACCGGCGCAACTCTCACCCCCCGCCGATTCACAAGCCGGGCAGAAGCCGATCTAGCCAGCGATCGCCGAGAGGGGATTTTTTAGGCGGGGGCGGATGCACTGTGAGAGAATGCGGGGTTCAAGCTTGTGGATGATCCAAAGGAAAGATTGTCAGAGCGCATGGAAGAGATGCCAGCGTTGGGAAGGAGTGGGGTGGGGTGGACTTGGTGCTGGTGGTGGTGGTGGTGGGACAGTGGCCCAGGGCAGCGGGCTGCGCGCGGACAGGTGCGGGCGCGAGGCGCAGGGGCGCCTTGATGCGGCCTGGGAGTGCGTGTGTCGGCCGCTTGGGCGACTTGCGTGGCACAGAGGAATAGGAAAGGTGGCGTATTTTTGGTTTATCAAATGCGGCCCAAACACAAGGGACCCCGTGAACGTGACAAATCGTGGCATACAATTATTGGCTGGACCAAATCGGTGACTTTCTGCACTAAATCGGTGACTGCTTGCACCGACTCCCTCCAAAACTTACCTAACCTAAAACTAAACCCTAAAACCAAAACCTAAACCTAAACCTGCCCTTACCCTAACCCAAACCCTAAAACTCACCCTAAAACCAAACATAACCCTAAACTGAGGTTAGGACACAGTGTGCACGTGATTTGGTGCAAGCAGTCAGCGATTTGGTGCAGGCAGTAATATTATTTCACAAATGGCCACGTGACGGGGTCCTAGGGGCACAACGGCATAGAATTTGTCCCTCGCTTTTCCGTGAAGATCCCTTCTTGTTTCGGACACCGTAAACCCTAAAAACTCTGACACACTGACCGGCGTTGGCCTAGTCAGCGGAAGAAGAAGGGATCTTCAAGGAAAGATAGAGGGACTAAAATTAGTCCGACTACCATATTTGTCCGACTAATATATTAGTCCGACAAGTATATTCTCAAGCGAGACGGGCATCTACAGGGCGCCCTGGGTCCGAGGGGATGAGAGGGGCGAGGCGTTCTGCTACGGTTTCGGGACCGTAGAAACAGGGAACACGCTCGGAAAATCCGTCACAATGCAACCCCATTCAAATACTAGATTGTCTACCTTAAAGGGCCTTTAAGGCTGCCTTAAAATAAGGCATCGGATTTCCTTTTATGCGTCCAAGACTTGTGGATCATGTCAACCTCAAAAAAAAGGTAGATTCCTATCGCGTCGACTGCCACGGCTCATACGCCATCCTTAGTCAAGTAAACGATAGAGACGTCACCACCGGTGACTCATCAGCCTGAGACAAAAGTAGTGCCTCGGTTGCATCAAACTAAATGTACACCCAACAGCGGACTGGCGTGATGCGACCAAGTTGCTGACATCCACAAGGCCCATGTGCCCAGCCCCTCTTCAATGGAGGCCTTCCCCAGCAGCGCTGTCTATTCCCAAGTGGCCACTTGGGCCCATGGCTCATGCGGGCATAAATAAATTTTAATATACACGCGAATTTCGGGTGTGGTGCAAATTGCTGCATCACTTTGCATGGCGGAACAGGAGACTTGCGACACATCATGTACGCTGGCACTCATTGTCTCCCACCATGACGCCGGCCGACATGTCCTGGCTCAATCCTGTCACTGTGGCGCCAATCATCAACCCATCCTGATATATCAAGGCCAGCCAATTTCGACATGCCAGCACAGCTTGTTCCTGTCCATTAGTGCATCAGCAACTACGATGCAGCGAGAACTGGCACGGATCCTTTGAAGCGGCTCATGTTTTAGGTGCTGCCACATGATCCATCGACGGGCTAAACTTGAAAACATTTTGGGAAAATTAGAATTGATTGATTTGTTCAGGCACTGACCCAGCCGTACATTTTCTTGAAAGGGTGTGACGCCGAGATCCAGCCCTTTGACTCTATTCTTTAGAAAGTAGTGGCGAATGGGGCCGAACTGGCTTGTTATTTGCATTCACGGCACCATTTTCGCGTTTACGTTTTTACGTGCAAAAACGCATAAATAAAGAAACGGCCACTTTTACGGCCATAGTTACGCATTTCACAGTCCGTCGACACACCCGGGCTACATGATCGTGTCTCAAAGAGTGATCCGTCCTCCGCCCCTTCGACCACCCACAACATAGGGAAACAACATTGTCGAACAGAATTCGTCTTCTGCCCACTGCAGCGCATCTTGCAGCCACTTCCTGCACCTGCTGAGTATGTATGCGCTGTCTTTATTTGCGCAAGTCACATTTTTACGCTTTGCTTAGGCCTATCTATGCAACAAAGTGAAATGACTTTGTGCACAAGTACGAGTGAGCTTGCAAGTATTTACGCCGTGAACAACAAGCTTGGGACCTGTTTGACGCGGTTTTGAATACGCAATAACATCTCGCCAGTATTTCCAAGCTCTCGGAAGAGGTCCGCAACAACGATTCCCATGCTTACAGTACCACCACATCATATGCTTACTGTAGTGTAACTGAATAATAAAGTTGTAAGTTAAAACTGCGTTGGAGTAAACGTGGCATCCGATTACCAACGATGCATCAGTAGCGATGTACACGTTTAGCTTTGCGCGTGCATGGTACACTTGGAAGTGAGTGCGACAATACCGAAAGCCAAACTCTTGGCCTGAAGATGGCGGGAAGGACCACATTCGACATGCACAAATCGAGCGGCAAGGACACGGTACACGCGCCGTAGTACTGGCAGCAAGTTAGCACCGGTAGAAAACAGCATGCTTGCGATGCCAACCGCAATGCTATTTGACACGAAGTGATGATATCGCAGACATTTTGATGCCATCGCAATCACTATGACGGCAACATTTGTTGTCGAAATGGCGTCGCGGTTGGCATCGCAAAAATGCCGTTCTCCGTCAGTGTAGACTGTACGCCTGCAATCTAGGCTCTGTGTGCAGCAACTACAGAGCCAGGACGCCTCCAGTAGCTACAGCTCACAAACATGCAACAAAGTCTGGTGCACCTCGTGCTCCCCAACCATGGAGAGCCGTACTATGGCAGCTTTGGCGCACACGGTGCTCAAGACACTTGAGCGTGCTTGGTCTGCAAAGAGCTAGAACTCAAGTGGCGTTACATGGCAAAACCAAGCAGGCTTGGTTTCAATGTGTACTTTTTGCTTTCCTGCATTTAGTTTTCACGCACAAAAACGCAACCCCAGAGAAGGTGCTACTTTCTTGCAGATGTATCTACGTAATTTTACCGCACACTGTGGCACGCGGGTTACATAATGAAGTCGCGTACAACGATTGGGACTCCTTCCCTCGAGCACCCGCAATAAAGCGCCCACCTGCTCCTCGGGGCGGGCAACAACGTCGTTAAGCAAGAGTTCGTTTCTGCCCACTCGAGTGCTTCTGGCCGCGACTCCTAAGCTCCCCAGGTCTGTATGTACTGTCTTTAAGTACAAAGAGCTGTACTTACGCCCGATATTTACGCATTTTACGCCTGTTTACGCATAAAGACGTAAATCTGTTTATACACGTACGAGCGCAAATAAAATCAGACTTCATAGTTTGAGTACCAAGGCAACAGCCAAGGGAATCGCCAAACAGACTCGGGTTCTCAATAGCACCGCGATTTTTTCTGGTCTGAAAACAGGTTCTATCGCGAGTCCGATCAAAACAATCGCCCAGCACACCAGCTCACCAATTTAAAACTACCCCATACATACCCAAATTCTTGAGTTATAATCACAAGGCCGTAGCCACAACACCGTCAGCTCACAAAGCCAGCTGCTGGTAGCCAAGGTGCAGAAATTCTCAATTTCAAGTTGAACTAGTGGAAGCCTTCTCAAGTCTTTGGAAATCATCCCAAAACACTGAGGAAGGCAGGCAGGATCGAGGGGTGGCGATCCCTGAACAGGAATTATACGCTCGAGTCCACAGCAATGGCTTACAGCCGAGGCAAAAGAACAACAGGTGTTCTGTCTTTTATATTCAGTCCGTTCATCAGCGTCCTTAACGCAATTTCTAGTGCTTCTTCATCTTTTCATGCATTCAGTTATTAATAACACTCAATCAGCTCTAACTGTAACATACAGCCCCAATCGCGAACGCCCTCGTTGTGATCTTTCATGTGCATTCTAAAATACCATCATTTCAGTTGACTTTAATCTTGATATCTCAGCGCATTCTCGAGTCCATAATGTTACAATAGTCAAATACCATCCAGATTTTTCCACAGCCCTTTGCTTCAATGGTCAAACCGATGTAGAATCCTTGCATACACTTTAAAGTGAACAAATTTGCTCACGCAGATCATCGCGGTCTTGCCATGGCTGCCATTTCATATATTCTGTTCGATGAACTCCTTGAGACGATCAACATGGACTTCTTCTGAATCAGCACCTCCTGCTTTCCTGTCAATCTCGTACTTCTGATCAGAGAGGCGACGCAAAATAAGATATGGTCCAAGTCAGTGAGCGTCCAATTTACGGCCATGTTGCTTGAACCGCACCGTATTGCCTAAACATAATTTTTGACCTGGTTTGAACTGAAACTTGCGCACAGTTTTGGTGGCTTCATCTTTTCCCTTCATCACAGCTGCTCGATTTGCATCAATTTCATCACCACACAATTGCAGTTCTTCAATTATCTGCCACAATTCTTCAGACTCTGGCTTTCTCCAGCCTTCTGCTAACGATTCAACCCTGTGCACTGGTACTGCCACCTCATGTGTTTGCTTTGGTGCATATCCCGTCAAGGCTTCGAAAGGAGAGCACTTCGTTGACTCAACAATCCGAGAGTTGACAGCCAGAAATGCGCGCCCCAACTCACGTATCCGCAGTTCGCTCTGTCCATCAGTTAGCCTCCTCAAGGGATCTAACAACTAACGGTTTGTGCGCTCAACCAGTCCGTTGCTTTTAGGCGAATAGGCCAGTGAGTAAGCCCATGCTGCCCCAAGATCACGTGCCCTCTGCCGAAGATGTTGC